TCCAAGATGGAAGGCCTGTTAAAGCTTCCCTCATTTCAGCTCGGACAGAATTGGATATTCCCTTTACCACGTCCTTCTTGATAATGCGACCTTGAATGACGTAGACAGAAACATTTACGGAAGGAGATCGGCCCTCGCTTTCCTCGCTGGTTGGTGTGGAAGGAAGGGCGATGGGTGTTGAGGCAGGCGATGCCCTCACTCCAAATAAACTTGCAAATGGGTTTAAGCGAGCTGCTGTGAGGCCCGGACGAGCTTGTGGCTTATGTTGCGGTTGAGATGGAAACGGAAGCTCGGTTTGAGGAGCAGGAATGTTGAAAACAGGGTACTCTGGCTTGAGAGGTACGATCAGCGGCGATGGAAGTGGAGGTAGGGCCGCCAAAGCAGAAACACGAGAATTAAGAGCAGCTAGAGCTTGGAAGTGTGGTGCTGTAGTAGCGATGACAGACCGCAAAGTCAGAGTATTCCTGCAAAGTTGCTTAGAGCTACTTGGGCACGTAAGCCTCGTCAATCGACATACTCGGTAATTGACCCTCTCAGTCCAGAGAGGGTAACAACTGGTATGACCTTGTTTGAAGGTGCTGTACAGTAGACGACGTGGTCACGCACATAGTCCGCAGTGATCACTTCTTGTGGGGTGACAGGATCCAAAGGTAATAGAAGCGTAGCCTGTTACCGTTGATTATTAGCACATGGACATAATTTTCATGAGAGAGAGTAAAGGTGTACACACCTTGTTTTGGACAACTGCGGACCATATATCTTCCCATTCAGGGGATTCTCCCTCCTGATACAACTTTTCACAAATGGCCCATCCGACGCTGTTCGAGTTCAGTTGCGCGTTTTGTGCGGCAGCTTTCAGATTCTGGAGTTGAAGTTGTGGGGTCGCACCACCTCCAGTTGTCCCCAGAGTGGCAGATGAGTATTGAGCCGTGACCTGCGAGGTTGATACGCGGTGTCGCGGGGTGTATGGAACATATTTAGGAGAATTTCCATTTGGGGGTGACTCGGGAGGTTTTAGAGTGCTCGCTTTGGTGTCCGATGTTGTTGCAGTGACTGCATTAGCTGAGCTGACTGAGCCTGGTGGTGGTGATAGGAGAGGATGAGATGCCAGCGATTCACCAGAGTTATCTCTGCTGATCCTTGTCCCTTGAACACGTCCTACAGAGGAGACGAATGGCGCGTCTTTGCGGGTTCCCGACATATCCAAAAGCACTGCTTCACCACAACCGCATCAATTCACGTCATCGTAAGACTTTGGCTAATAGGCCTTTGACATTTTAAGATCACAAAAATGGGGAAAGGAGACTGAGGTGGGATTGCAAAGACAGAAATGCCAAAGGAATGGATGCTACAGGGACACGACAGAGGAAACATGAGCAAAGCATTAGAAACACATCTATAAGTAAGCCCTGGCGGCTCGTCGAGCCATCTACATATCGCAAAGAAAGAAAAGAGGGTAAGAGTCCGCTGCAATGTAATTAGGTGAATTATACGTACCTCAACAACCTTCCATCCTCCTGTGAGCTCGTTATCCATCTCTTCCGGTATCCGAGTAATCACAGCTCCATATGTACACTGCTCTACTCTATCTTCTTGACCAACCACGATCTCACCCGTCTTTGGGTCACGGAAGAGAAGAACCTCCTGAGTCGTACAGGTGACGATAAGAACTGGAATCTCATTCTCCAATACTTTACCGCCAGTCACCTAAAAAGTCGTCGTTAGATTGCAAATATATTCTATTAGGCGATAGCTTACGTCGACTTGTCGGATATCCAGTACTTTGCTGTCACTGATCAAACCTTGTCGTAGGTAGGTCTCCAAAGTGGCCCAAAGGAGGTTATACGTCTTTCAGACTCTTAGTATACAAGCACTCATACCTTCAAGCGTCACTCACCGCTTCACCACACCATGTTTGTAGAGACTCCTTGTCGGCACTGAGGTACGCGTCTACAACCTCGGGAATGATATACTCTCGCAAGTCCCTCTGGAACGCTTCTATATTGAAGGTGGGATCCATGGCCTTGAACATTCGAACGACCTGCGCTTGCTCTGTCTCATCAAAGAGGAATGAAGAGACCGAGTCGGTGACACCACGAAGAGAGGAGACAACAGGGTTTTCTGATTCCTCATATGCCTTCTTAAGCCCAACCAAACTACGCAATACTGGGTTGGTCTCTTTGAGGTTATCCCATTTTTCTCGCTTCTCTGCATCCTTGTGCAGAACCATAGCTTGACCAGCCCTGAAAAAGCCTTTTTCAGCAATCTCTCTCTAAACTAAGGAACTGCGTGAGCCTTACTCTGGGTTTTCGGTGACTCGCGCCTTGCCTATGGCAGACTTGCCAAGTTTTGCTAGTCGCTTTTGTCTTCTCAGTCTTCTAGCTTCCTTCTCTTCGTATCCAGCGTGTTTAGCACTTCCACTGTCATCGAGAGCTTCGAGGACGGTATCTGCGAGCACCTTGTAAGCCTCAGTTTTTCGAATAGGCTCAGTAGCAGTCGAAACTGTGCTAGCGACAGCAGAAGAAGCATCCCTCATCTACAAGACAGGCAGGAAAAGTGTAAAAGAT